TTTTGAAATCTGAGATAATATTCTGATCTGTCCATCTCCAACTTCAACATCTCATTCTTACTTTGTTCAAGCACGGTTACTCTGTCATCAATATTTCCAATTTTCTCATCTCTTTGGTTGTCTTTCTCTTCCATTTTTTGCAATTTCTCATCTCTTTGGTTATCCTTCTCTTCCATTCTTTGTAGTCTCTCATCATATTTCACCATCATTTGTTGGATGCTCTCAATTTTTTGTTCAATGCTCCCTGTACTCATTTTGAGTTCTTGAATTCCTTGTATAACCGTCGTTAAGTCTGTTTGTGCTTTATCTTGCTTCGCCATTATTGAAAGTCGTCCTCCAATTGATGGTGAGGCAGGAGCAGAAGTTGAGGTGCCAGAAGGTAGAATTTTCTTACTCATTTGAATAATTCAGAATCTTCCCAATCTTTAATCCAGTTAGCAGAGTGGTAATTGTAATCCAATTAGGGAAAGGAAAAACGTAAAAAAAAGAAAAAAGAATAACCAGTAAAAAATAAAAAGCCCAAAATTCAAAAAGAAAAAGGTTTCAAAAAGAAAAAAGAGATTTCTTCAGGTTCTTCTAAACCTTAATCCTCAGTTACGATAGTCAAACAAGAAAAAAAAAAAAGAGTAAAACCCAGTAATATTAAAAAATAATAATAATAATAAAGGAAAAAGAGAAAAATTCTTCAGGTTCTTCACACCCTAATCCAATTGCGAGGTCTCCAAACAATAAAACATAGCCATAAAAGGGAAATATATATATAAGTGGAAAAAACAAGAATCCCCCCCCCCAAGGAAAAAAAAGGAGAAAGGAAAAAAATATTTTGAGGCTTTCCCTTTAGAAAAGAAATAAATAAAAAATAGTAATAATGATGAGCGAATATGTAAGATTATTACAAAATGCTATGGGGTTGAGGAGGAGGGGTAAAAGCTAGCAACCAATAAAACAAAAAGCACACTGCATTTTATTTAAACGTCCAAGGCTCTTATTATGGCAAGCTTCGAAGCCAGACTTCAAATATTCAGTTGATTGTAGAAACCCCAAGGGACACCTGTGGAAATGTTTTTCAGGTTTCTTCCCTCTATCTTATCAACTCCGTGTCCTTGGGAAAAAGTTTCTCACAGTTCTCACAGCTTCAAATAAAATTTCTTCAAGCCTCTAGTTGGCAGTGTTACAAAGTTACAAAGTTTCTCTGCTCCACTCCCCCTTCTTCCCCTCCAAAAAAAAAAAGAAAAGCCCAATAAAAATAATAATAATTATACAAAAAGAAAAAAAAGATTACTAAAGGGAGCCTCTATTAAAAATATAAACAGTCAGACCAAAGAAAATGGATAAATATAAAAGGGAAAACCAGTCTGGTTACCATTACTGATCACAATAAAAGTTCATTGGAAAGAAAAAAAAAAGGTAAAAAGCCAAGCCTCATTTTGACAGCTCTAAAAAAAAATCGCCACTAAATCCACCTTATCGAGTTCTGTCAAAAATCTTACAGATTTCTTCTTCTTCTAGAGTGAGCTTAAGTTCCAAATAATTAAAATAAAATCTCACCAGCCGATGCACTTTCTCTTTCTGTCTTCTCTTCCTTCCGGAGCTGTCCCTGCTTCAGCAGCTTAATGGCTGCCTCTCCGCCGATGGTAAAGGGGCTTCTTCTGGATCTTCCAGGGACTTGCGGTGTCCCTGTGATCAACAGAACGCGCCCCTTACTATCACCGTCCCTACGGGACGGTTTAGGTCCGTTGGGACCGACCAGGGGCGAAGATCTCAGCTGTAATTTCAGAGCCCCGAAATTACAGCTGTAGCGCGGCGACGTGGCTCCGCCTTCTCCATATTGTTTCTAATTTTCTATGTTTACTTCTAAATACAAGTATAAAAATGCAATCTTATGTATCTTTCTAGAATCCCTTTAACCATAAAGCTTATCCATTATCTCTAAAAAAAATTTGCTTCTTAACATCTTGCTCCCCACCATTAGGACTTCTCATCCTTTCCTTTCTTTCTTGTTTCTTCTTCTCCTTATCCTCTTTAACCCCTTGTCTCTCCACCTCCCTTTTATTCTGCTTTCCCCCTTTCTGTTGTTTCTTAACATAATATCCCCTTTTCACCTTATTCTTCTCTTTTTGGGCTATTTTTCCAGATCTTAAAGACCTTTTCCCCTTTTTCTCTTGCTTTTTCTCTTCTCCAGTCAAAGTAATTTGTTCATCAAAGATGGCTTCTCCTTCTTCTTTGTCCCCATCATCCTCATTCTGCTTCACATAAATATAAACCGCCATTTCCAAGTATTGAAAAATAGTGTCAAGACCATCTTCCCCTCCTTGTTTTTCTCTTTCAAATTTTTGATATATAAGTTCCAATTCATCCATAGATGATGCCATTATGTAGAGAAAAAGTTTTTCCAAACAACCACCCAGATGATTTAATCAGAAGTAATTTCCAAAGGTTCCAAAGTCACCAAACAATCCAAACACTATTTCTTTTAGATACCTTCTTCTTCTTCACTTTCTCTTTCTGGGGTTAAAGTAATCACAAATCCTTTTCAAATATATTTTTTTTGGAAGTTTTTAAACTCTTTGTAATTCTAGGCAATCTTCTCCTTATTTTCAAATTTTACTCTAATTCTTTTTTTCACTCTCCCTTCCCACTCACAGCCAAAAAGGTTTTTTTTTTTCCGCTGTCACTTTAGGAAGGAGAGTAGAACAAAGAAAAAAACTTTCCCCTTTAGAATATTCGCAGCTTAAAACTCTCACAGGGAACAATATATACTTAGCAGCCTTCAAGATTCCAGGTCATTTTCTCCCGTCTTGTCCCGGTTAGAATCAACTTTCACTTCTCTTTCAGTTTCCTCCCTCCTGCACCTGCTTGTCCGGCTGCAGCTTTCTTCGTGGCGGCCATTGCTGACCGCCGTTCCTCCGCCTCGGGAAAAGGGGGTTTAGCTGGCTGGGGAGGGGGTTTGCGACACCCCCAAACCCCTTGCCGGATCCCCCCTGTCTTCAGCTGCCTCTGCGGGGCAGCTATATCCCCCAGATCCAAATGGATCGGGGGAACCTTGACGGTGAACGCAGCAGGGATCGCGCGGTCGCGAATCCCTGCTGCCGCCGAAAGGTTGCAAACCGGAAGTCTCTCCATGGAATTTTTTTTAGGCTCTCTTGAGTTTGTTGAAATCAGCTGTTTTAAAATTTAAGACACTGGCTGGATTATGTTCTATTGCTTGTGTTTGCATTAGATTGAATTTCAATATGACATGGTCATTCTACCCAAAGTTCTGGCAACTTCAACTCCCTCTATCACTTGTTCTCTACTAATAAGAATTAGGTCCAGTAAATGCAGATAGTCTTTTTCTCTAATCAGATAAGTTAATTTTACCATCTCTGTGAGGTCTGTCAATTTCCTCCACAGAGGGTAGTTTCCTTTTTCCATCTCTGTGCATATAATAATTTTGTTGCAGTAATCTTATCTTTAAATAAACTTCTGTGATTTTTTGCTAACTGTTTACCATTAGTCCTAAAAGGAAAAGTTCTAGCTTAAATTAAATATTAACCTTTAAAATCCTCTGTATAAAACTACAGGTTTTGGGCATTCCCTTAGCAAACATTTGAGGTTACATGATAAGTGCCCCCAAGCGTTTGCGAACAAGGCTGGAACTACGAATCTTGCAGCACCATGGCAGTTGTTTAGCCTTACGAACAACTGCAGAGGCTTTGCAACTTTCGTCCAAAACATTGCAGGGCCTCATGCTCCCCACAACTGCTTCCCCCACCCCCCCCAACCAGCTGTGCTGGGTCACTTATCTTGTGAAGATCTAGCAAACAGTCTCCTCTCCAGTCTCTCAGCTGCCTGCACCCCTCTGCAGTTCCGTTTGGCCCTCCGCAGGCCTCACCTGGCAGGTTGCCATCTGAAATGGAGCTTCTGAGGGGTGAATCCAGCCCTCTGATGCTCCGTTTGGCCCCCGTGGGCCTCCCCCGACCTGTTGCAGGTGGAATGGAGTGTTGGGGGGCCAGATCTGCCCCTCCCCCGAAGCTCCATTCCTGCCTGCAACAGGTTGGGGGAGGCCCACGGAGGGCCGAACGGAACTGCAAAGGAGCGCAGGCAGCTGAGAGGCTGGAGAGGAGACCGCTTGCTAGATCTTCACAAGGTAAATGACCTGGCATGGCAGGTTGGGGGGGGGAAGCAATTGTGGGGAGCATGAGGTATTTCAGTGGGAGGCCACTGGTCACCTTCGGCATCACTAGCCCCCCCCCCCCGCTTTCCCCCTCCCCCAAAATACCTCATGTGCACTTAACGAGCCTCACATTTGATTAGCAAATGCGTGGGCGAAAGGAGGGAGTGATCCCGTTCAAAGTATGAGGTTCACTCCCACGAATCCTCGGGTTACGAATGGAATGGGCAGGCTCTATTCCATTCGTAACTCGAGGACTACCTGTATGTATTTGAACCCATTTTTAAAGTTTTTTTACACAGAGCATGATTAAAATGTCACTTCATGTTGTTTCTTTTTCAAACAAACATTTGAAGTGTCTTTATACGTACCACAAAATTACTTCTGACAAGCAAAATCAATGGATGAAAGCAGATTCACTTAACCACAATTCACTTAATGACCACAGTGTTTCACTTAATGGGTAAAAAATTGGGTGTGAGTCACTTTGCTTAGTGATGAAGTTCTAATCCCAGTTGTGATCATAAGTTGAGGACTACCTGCATTGCAACCAAAAAGTCCACTTTATGGTTCATTCGTTAAGCTGCTCCTCTTCTCTTTAAAATCTCAACAAAAGTTTACACATTTTAGCAATTTCATCATTGTTTAGATTCTTTTGGACTCTTTGTTTTTTCATATCTACATAATAGTTTATATATTTTTGTGTCTTCTAGCTTTTCACAATTTTTATCTTTGGTCTCTCCTATGCTTTTGAATGGGCGGCACCCCACCATGCTGTCTGTCTCTGATCCTGCCCTGCTCTCCCCCCGGCTGCATCCCCTGCTGGCCTCGCCTTCTTTCCCTCCAGTTTGAAGCCGATCGCAGAGCCTTCATCATCACCATCAATTCCTTTGGCACCGAGCTGTCCAAGGAGGACCGAGCCAAGCTCTTCCCCCACTGCGGCAAGCTCCACCCCGAGGGCCTGGCTCAGCTCGCCCGGGCAGATGACTACGAGCAAGTCAAAACCGTGGCCAACTACTACCCGGTAAGGCTCCAGGGCTGGTCATAGGGCTGGTCAGTGCGAGGGAGCCGCACAGCCAGTCCAGCTTTGAACAGTGACCAGCGTCGCCTGCGTCGGTGGATCCTTCTGAACTTTGAGTTTTGCATTAGAGCCGGTGTCTTTTTTGGCGACTCTTTTCCTGAGTGCAGGCATTTCCCAGCCTGGCCTGCCCCGGAGTTTTGGGCTGGAGTTCTTCTGCATGTGGCGCTGCTCCCAGTACAGGGGGGGTAGCATTTGCTGAGAGAAGTTTGGACATTTCTTCTTGCTTTCACCTGGTGCTGGTCCAGCGAAAAAGAGGCTGGCTTGTAGTTTTCCCTTCCTTTTATATTGGGCAGCTCAGATTTCCTCCTCCCTCCCAGTGAGCTGGGCAGGGGGAGGGCTGGCCAGGGTCATCCAGCCGCTGCGTTTTGGGCGTGAAGCAGAATCGGGGCTCAGGGGCTTCTGCTTTTGAGGCCAGCAGCCCCTTAGCCACCCCCACCTTTTCTTGCCCTGCTGGTTCTTTTACAGCCTCTCAGCCAAATTGTATTCCATTGACCGCTTGAGGGAAGGTGCCCCACGGGTGGGTGGGGGCCCAGCTTCCCCTGTTCTCCCCTCACTTTCCTCTCTCCTGCAGGAATACAAGTTGCTCTTTGAAGGAGCAGGGAGCAACCCTGGTGACAAAACCCTCGAAGACCGATTCTTTGAGCACGAGGTGAGCAGGGGGGAGCTCCTTATGGCGAAGGGGGGAGGCCCCCCCCCCGGGCTGTGGAAGGGAGACAGAGGGGCCGTCCCTGCTCTGCCGCGGCTCTTCTCGGGACCCTTTCCCAAGGCTGCCCTCTGTGAATGGTGATGGTGAGGAGCCTCAGAAGAGGGCAGCAGAGAAATCCAAAGCCCTCCTTGGCTGCCCTCTGCAGTG